AGCACGTGATGAAGTAGCTGGAGCACGTGATGAACCAGCTGAAGCACGTGATGAAGTAGCTGGAGCACGTGATGAACCAGCTGAAGCACGTGATGAAGTAGCTGGAGCACATGATGGGCTAGCTGGAGATGGCAGACTTTCTAAGTGTTGTAACTGTCTTTTGTCTGGATTCGAGGAATTCATCTCAGTTTCTCTCAGCAATAACAGTGTGGGAACCCTTCTTTAATTTACTATTCCCGTCTCTGCGTACTAAGGCATTCTGAAAGCTGGCATAAACCTGTCGATAAAGATAAATATAGACTCACAGCACTTTTTAATATAACTAAATGCCTTTGACTCAATTAGAATATATAGAAATGGCCTGGTTCAGTCAGATATGATATGCGTTAATATGCACTAAAAAATATTCTGAGCGTTTGCTGGCTATTCTACTTCTCTTCGTGGATTGATACCGGTTTTAGAACAATTTTCGGTGAATTTGCGTTGATTTGACCCCGTCCGATGATTATGATCCTTTGCGTTTAAACAATAGATTGTTTTGATGTGACGTCATAGTGAAATAATGGCAAATTGAGTCTATTAAAAATTCCATCGGTGCTTTGTGGGCTGTTGAGCCATTCATTATTTATGACCGATTTCTCATTGCAAAAACATCTCTCAACGGGTTGCCAAATGTAAAAATTACTTACACCTTGTCAAATTGTCAAATTTCACCGTGTGCAACAAAGAAAAGTAGCCAAGTGCCTTTGCACGCTTATTGTTTGCTTTGGCTTTCACTGGTTTATGGGATTTTTTTAAAAACGATACTTTTGCCATTAATATTACTAATACTAACGTGTTGCTTTAGCATTGGATGAAGACATGTTCGACTAATTTGGCAGATAAAAGAAGCCAGTTTTAGGATATGCACAGAACCTGAAATTACTCAAACATTATTCCGGTATTTTGACGAGATCTTTAAATCTCTTAAAGAATTTAGAAACAGATATCGCTAAAAGGTACTACCTACACTTTATCTAAGTAAAATGGATTTTT